AATTAATCCGTCATTAATATGCCATCATCCCATACTGGTGCATATAATGCATACAATTCATAAATGATGCTACGGTTATAATATCACATCAAATAAATTCATACATAGCATGATATAAAATTATACAGATACTCCTTTGCATTTAATTGAGCAAAAATAACAATTCTAAGTAGCATGCATTGAATTTATCTCATAAAAATTAACATGCATCTCAAATAATTGTACTCCTCCATAATATAATCAAATTTATTTAAAACCAAATAATTGATTAAAATAGTTTAATCCAACCATGTTTAATTAATTTAACCTTTTAAATTAATTAAATTTCATACTTAACATGTGTACTTAAATCATGTTTTTTAAATCATCCATAAATCTAATTTAACAATTTAAAATCATTAAAACAGATTTAATAACAGTTCAACCTCCCAGAACGTCCCAATAATTCCACTTCAGTTCATAAACATTATTTAAACATTGTAGAATATACATCATGTATCAATTTGTCCAAATTACTAAACAAATACACAAACCCATTACATATATACATACACTGTAATTTCAGTTTTAATCATGCAATTAGGTTCAATTAATTTAATTAAATAATCCTGGAGCTAATCTAGCATGTATATAATCTAAATCAAGGGAGAAGAAAAGAAAATAACTTGCCTTAAAATTTTTGATAAAAATTCTAACCTCCTTCTTCATCTCTTCTTTCTTTCTAAACTCTCTGTCTTTTTCCTCCAAAATATACTACGTGATTTAATTTCTAACCCCTCTTTACTAACATATATTTTTGATAAAAACCTTAACCTAATCCTTTTCCCAATTCAAGTCAACTTAATAAAACAAAATAATAAAATTAAAATATTAAAAATGTAACTAAAAATATATTATGTACATAATCTATGTATATCTTTATTACATAAATATATAAAATATATACATCAGATTATTAATACTAAGTTATAATAATATTAATTAATTAATTACTTCCTTATATATATATATATATCTATAACTATCCATAAGTAACTAAAAAAATATGTTACGTATATAATCTATGTATATCCTTATTATACAAATATAAAAATATATATATCAGATTATAATTACTAAGTTACAATAATATTAATTAATAAATTACTTTCCTTTTATATATATATATATATATATATATATATATATATAATTATCAATGGGTAATTATCCTTACCCATTAAACCTCCTATCCAAGTAATCCATGTGACAGAATTAGTTGGTCCATTACTCCTAACTATATACATAAAATAAAACAAAGTAAATATTTAATTATTTAATCTTTAATTAATTATAAATAAACAAAATACATCAATTAAATTAATTATTTAATTATTCAAGTACATACTTTCAATTAATCAAGTCAAATAAAACATTTAATCAAAATAAAATATTTAATTAATCAATTTAATTAAATACGTAATCAAATAGTCAAATAATTAAGAAAATAAATAAAAACGTAATTAAAACCTTTAAAATAATACCGAAACTACCTTTTAAAATTATGGGTATTGCAACCCCCCTCTCTCTCAAATTCTCACCTTTCCCCCTCTCTCTCTCTAAAACAGACCCATGGATTTTGTGTATAAATCTGTATGAATTTGCAAGCCTTGACAAAATAAATTATCATTTGCAAGCCTTAACAAAATAAATTATCAATACACATACCAAATAGTTATATGAATTGCCAATCCCCAAATCAATAAAACCCTATCCTAAAGTAGTGATGACGGTGCAAAATGGAAGAAGAAAAACAGGGGGTTTTATGTCGACGTGGTACAGGACTTTAGGTCGTCGTGACGAGCAGCATGTTAGCGACATTGGGTTGCGATTTGGAAACGGTTGGGTCGTTGATCAACTACCTAATAGTTTTAAAGAGGGGCGGCGGCTATGGGTCACCGTCCATGGTGGTTGCCAGGCCGCGCTCCGGCGACTTAGTTGTATGTGAAGAAGTCAGCAACCTTTAGGATCTCTGCTGCATATCTTGTGGGTCAATTGAAAACAGTTAACTTATGAAATGTTTTAAAGAGAGAGGAAGAGAGAGGGAGATGTGATAGTTTAAAGGAAACGAGAACTTTAGGTTGCCGAACGGCGACCTGGTAAGCTGCCGTGATTTTTTTTTTTTAAGTTAGCAACCTTGGATCGCGATTTGGAGAGGGTTGGGTCGCTGCAGTTTCAGAGAAGGACGACGGGTCGTCGTTCACGGTGATTTCCAGATTGTGTTCTGACAACTTGGTCCTTGAAGAAGTCAGCGATTGATCTTCAGAGAAAAAGTACTGTGGCACTAACTGAGGATCAAAAGAAAGCGCAAACCGATTTAGCAAGTGGCGCCACCGGCGGTCCGTATGATATAGCAACGGTGAATTTGTGAGTTATTGAGGTGACCATGGAACTGTTTTAGGGAGAGAGAGAGGAGAAAGTTTTAGAGGGAGGGGATGAAGAAAGGAAGAAGATGGGTATTTTTGTAATTTTTGAAATAATAATTATATTTTTTAGTTTAATATTAAAATAGTAAGGTCAAATTTAACATTTCACAGCTGGGTTAATGAGTTGGATATAAATATTGGGATAATGTGATCATTTTTAAAATGTAAGAAATTTTTTGAAAATAAATTGAAAATTTATGATAAAAATTTGAAAGTAGTGAGATTTTTTGAAATTAGCTCTATAATATAACATTATATATTTCTTTGTTGCTTACATTAGCAACAAAGGTATTAGTTGAGGGTATATTTGTAATTATATAATGGGACGTTTGTTTATTTAGTCCGACAGGAGCACCAAGTTATTTTGCAAAAACTTTAATTTCAGGGCAATAAAAGCACACCTCGGGTTAAAGTAATTTACATTATTATTAATGTCATTTTCAAATATTAAAATATTATTTGATAACTCGATTCAATATCTAATCATGAACAGTTTAAATTTAGAAAAAATTTAAAATTTCACTAGTTGACTTTGTTTATTTTAAAAAATACTAATTTTTTCAAACTATTAGAGTTGATTGCTAAGTTTTTGAAATTAATTATAAATCTATACAAAAACACTCTTTAGTCTTTTTCATTGTCCAATACTAACTATTAGAGTTGACTTTGTTTATTTTAAAAAATACTAATTTTTTCAAACTATTAGAGTTGATTGCTAAGTTTTTGAAATTAATTATAAATCTATACAAAAACACTCTTTAGTCTTTTTCATTGTCCAAAATTCCATTCTTCATTTCAATATTACCTTTGATAAATTTTGTTTTATTTTTTTCTCAATTGGGCTCCTCTCTCATCCATCACTTTCTTCGTCGGCCGACCCTCTCATCGCCATCCTCAACTTCCTCAAATGCCTAGATAAAAAAAAATAGGAACTTCCTCGAATGGCCAAAATGCAACACTAGATGAAAAAGCGCATACCCATGAACACCGGGCCATCACACCCACTTAGGCAAAATCTCCAAATTTTAAGAATTACCGAACAAGCAGAACGAATTTCAGTAACTCAACCGAAAATTCAATTGAAGACCCAACAGTGAGGTCGAAGCAAAACAATCAAGTTTAACACGATGAACACCATTTTCGGCGAACCCAGTTTAGTTCAGTGAAGCCGAACAGAGGCAACCAAGTTCAGTAAAGTCCACTCCAGTTCCAGTGAGCTCCAAGCTTCTGCAACATTTTAGTCCGGTGCATTCATTTTTTGCGAAACCCACTTCAGTTCGATAACATGTCCACGCTACTCAGGCCCACCGTTGCAAAAAACGCGACGGTGAGCTCCTAAAACTGAAACAGAGCTCGCCGTTTGTTCACCGTAGTCGAATGCAAGTCGAGGAGTTCACTGATTTGTCACCGGCGAAGGCAAGCATGCCTTGAAGCTTGCTGTCAGTTCACAGAAGCTTGGAGTGCGGCTTGGGTATCGTCGGAATCAATGGTCACTTGTTGAACTTTTATGGAACTCTCTGTTGATGAAGATTTTGGAGTTCTCTCTGTTATATTATTTCTATTTCCTTAGAGACAGACCGAACTGAAAACTAGATTCTCCGGCCAAGGTTAATGAAGCTCGCCAAACTGGGTGTGTTAATGGAGCTCAAACTGGTTTGTTAGTGAAACCGACCGAACTGGGTCTGTTAAAGGAGCTCGAACTGGGTCGGTTAATGGAGCTCAATTTTGGAGTTCTCCTCTCTGTTAACGTTGCTTCCCGTGCCACTTCCGCCTCCGACGAAATTGGCTGCTCCAGATCGCTACCTAGCAGCGACCTCAGTGACAACAACGAAGAGGATGGCCTTCGCGGAGGCCCTCATCGCCGCCGATCCAAGGATGGGAGGAGCTCACCTGAATTGGGTCATCCAAGGCTTGCCGGAAATGTTCTCTGTACTCCTCGCCGGACTGTACAATGAAATTCCCCAAGACCGGTGAACTCAAGGGCATTTGGACCATGAAAAAGTCTAAATAGTATTTTTGTATAAATTTATAATTAATTTAAAAACTTAGCAATCAACCTTTTTGAGAAAGTTGACATTTTTTAAAATAAGCAAAGTTAATTAGAGAAATTTTAAATTTTTTTAATAATTTATATAGTGTTTTTGATCACAAAATTGGAAATCACTCAAATGATTTAAAATATAAATATTATGTTTGGAAATAGTAAAGTTAATGGATTGGAAAAATTATAGTTAAAAATTTATATTAATTTTTTTTCAATCTCAAATTTGAGGCTGTGCCAATCATAACATAAGAGTTATTGAATACCTATTTTACGTTTTCAAGATTTATAGAACCTATAGTTTACAAATATAAGATTGAATAAAAGCTTGGTTTAGGCCAAACATAATTAGTAGTAGATTATATATATATTTTTAGATAAACCTAATCCGTAAATTCAATTCGGTGATGACTGATGGACGAGTCAGACGGTTTTTAAAACAGAGTGCACTAAGTATTCGTAAGTGTTAGTTGCTCCCAAGTCCCAAGTCCCAAGTCCCAAGTCCCAAAAAAAAAAAAAAAAAAAAAAACAGAGGGGGTCAGCGTCGTCATTTCAGAACACGGATCTCACACTGTTGCGTGAAGAGAGAGAGAGTGACAAGCACCGGTGTTCTAGAGAGAGAAAGAGAGTGTGTGTTGAAGAAGAGAAATCTCTGGCCTCCTTTTCTGACTCGAACATTTTCGTTTCCAGAAGAAGCAAAAAAATAAAAAATCAATGGAGAGAAGCACTCCTGTGAGGAAGCCTCACACATCCACCGCAGATCTGCTCACCTGGGCGGAAAATCCCGCCGCCGATTCACCAGCCACCGCTTCTGCTACTTCCGGTGCCCGTTCACACCAGGTCAGTTCATTTCCGTCTAAAATAGAGTTACTTTTTTTCTTTTTTTTGATTTATCTATTTATTTTTATGAGTTGATCGGTTGTGGTCGGAAAATGTCAGCCGTCGGATGGTATTAGCAAGGTGGTGTTTGGAGGCCAGGTTACAGATGAAGAAGTCGAGAGTTTGATGAAAAGGTTAGAGATCTGGTTAAACCTTTAGCTTTCAGTTTGTAGGCCTTTTTTTAAACTTTTTTTTCGTTATTTTAGTTCAGGTGGGGCAATAAAAGCTCTTTTGATTTGTCTCTGCATTATTCACGGGTTTCACAACATTGTTGTGCTTTTTTCTCTAGTTTGAATCCATTATTTCTATCTTCCTTCTTGATGTTTCATGTTGGATACATACACAAGCACATATTAAAAATGTGATTTTGTTGAATGATTTGTTATGGATATTCTTATTTGGCCAATTATTGAAACAATGAATGGAAATCTCTTATCTCTAGAACGTTTGGTTAAATGTGCTTCTTTTTGGTTGAGTGCTCAAATCTCATACTGGCATACTATTTCAGATCACTTTGTGATAAATTCTCTTCTTTGTTTTTGGGAGTATTTTTTATGCTCTTGTATTCCCTATAGTAGGAGAGTGTTAATAAATTCGTGTTCAGAATTTACCCGTGACAGAGAGCTTAGAGAGGAAACATTGTTAATTTTACATAGTGGATTTAAATCAGTTATTATTATTATTTATTTATTTTTAAATCATCAACGTAAAGAAGCTTCATCATTTATAAATTAGGTGTAGGTTTGAAATAGGTTGGGTGAGCTGATCCAAAGAGTCAGGGCAATCATTCTAAGCATGGGCATATTCGAGAAATGGGTTTTCCTTGAACAATGGCATGGCTTCTTTTAAAAAAGGTCTCTCCTGTTCGAGTTCTCATCTTCAGGGAATTTCAACACTCCTAGTTTACCCATGTTGTCCGTTGTCCAGTCAACGTCACTTTCTGAATTACAAAAAATAAAAATAATAAAAATAAAAATACCTAGTTATTTATACTATATGAATTTTGAAAGCAAGTATTGATTACTTTAAGGTGTGAGCTGACCTTGCATTGAACTTCCTATTGGGGTTTGGTATCCCTAAAAGCTGTATGGGCATACACAATCCAGACTTCCGAACTTTCTGATTCTTCTTCGTCATGCCGGTTTCCTTAATTGAAATGCTACATATTTATTGAATGTTCAATCTACCTCTTTTTATGATCATACAGGGTGTGAAACTATGACGTATGGATGAGACTGAGCAAAGAGTTAAACTGCCAAAGAACAACATATTTGTACTTATAAAATTTAGGGTGAAATGCTCTGACACCCCTCCCCCACTCCCAGGTTTTCTTTTAGGGTAAATTACACTGAGCTCCCCTGAAGCTTGGTCAAATTGTACCCAGAGAGTGCGTTTGGCCTTTATTACCCTAACCTCCCCTAAAAGTGTGAAATGTCTTTCTTACCCTTATCTAATTTAATAATAGTTTAATAAAAAAGAAGCTGTCAAACCAAACCCTTTTGCTCCCTTCTTGTAAACGCAATATTACCCTAGCTATATATATATTTTTTGAAAAAATAACCTAATCAAATGTCATTAACAAAAAAAAAAAAAAAAAAAAAAAGAAGTAAAATTTAATAATAAAAAATTTGTATAAAAATTGATATTTTGCATTATTTCAATGACATTTCATGGTATTTTTGTCATTTCATGTCAAAATATAAGGCTATTGAGGTCTTTTAACACAAGGAAAGGGTCCTCAACCTCCCTTGAGGTTTGGTTAACCTTGTCCTGACACCCCCTTTTGTTAGTTCACTGTTAGGCATGTTAGAAGTTAGCTAATTTGAAAAAATAGAATGCATAAACTACCTTTCCTTGTTGCAACATTTCCAAATAAGCCTTGCTCAATTTTTGGAAGAAAATTTTTAACCTAAATTAGTTGGACCTTAATGCCCTCACATGTCAATACTTAAAGACTCTGTCTCTCTCATATGAAGTTGCAGCAAGTTGGTTTCTACTTTCTCTGTCTGCATTTCTCTCTTTCGGGTGTATTGGCATTTCCTTGACAATTGAAACTGCATTGTGCAATTTCCCCGCACGGCCAAGCAAGTCAATAATCAAAGCATAATGCTGCTCCCCAGGCTCAACTCCATACTCCTTCATCAACCCAAAGTAATGCTTACCCTTTTCAACAAGGCCAAAATGGCTACAAGCATACAACACACACAAAAAAGGTGATGAAATTTGGTCTCATCCTATCTTTCCATTTGTTTAAACAAATCAAATGCTTTGTTCGTTTGCATATGCTAAGCACTGACAATTCGCATTGCGTTCCACATGCCTAGCTTCGTAATGGAAATCTCATCAAATATCTGATAAGCTCCTTCAATTACTCCACACTAGGAATACAAAGAAATCAAAGAATTGCCTACAAAGCCCTAGGAATTATAAATCATTTTCAAACACAAACCAGTGTATTTGCTTCCCCATCTGAGAAGCGTAGAACTGCCATAAACTTGAATGACTCTAGAAAAAGTAAAATCATTAACATCTAAACCATGTTGCAAAGCTTGCTTAAATAGCCTCAAAGCCTCTTCATCCTCACCCATTTGAGTATACCCATATATCATTCCACTCCGAGAAGTCACATTTCTCTTCGGCATTCAATCAAATGCCTTCCGGGCATCTCTAAACTCACCACATTTTGCATGCATATAAACCATTGAACTCCCACAAACACATCAAAGTCAAACCCAGTTTTCATAGCAAGACAATGCATCGATTGCCCAAGCATGGAGCATCATCATCATCAGGTCTAGCCCTAGCATGGAGCATGTACTATTTCTGAGATGACGTTTCATAGATGTGGTGTTTAGGGTTTCACGAATATGGGTGGTTGGAGTTTCTAAGTCTTTGGTCTCATGTCATTTCAAAGAGAGAGAGAGAGAGTATTGGATTTGGTGAGATCCGTGTTAGATTAATAATATCAAGAGCAAAAATGAGATATCGTATTTTATGTGTATACATCAACAATGATGCATGCATCCGGTTAAATAAAGGAAGGGGTATAATGGTAAAAACACGTTTTCTGTTAAAAGCAAAAAAAAAACAACGTTTGCTAACTCTGACAAGGAGTGTCAAAGCAATTTTTCCACAAGTTTAATCTATGGGTTATAAAAGGAAATCTAGGGGGGTGTTAGAGCATTTCACCTTAAAATTTAGGGTAAAATGCTCCGACACCCCCCTTAGATTTGCCTTTATTGCTCATAGATTAAAATTGTGCAAAAATTGCTCTGACACTAGTTAGCATCCCCGTTTGTTCGTGCTTTTACCATCATTCCCCTTCCTTTATTTAACTTGGTGCATGCATCATCACTGACGAGTACATTAAAATTAAGAAATGTCTACATTGCTATTGATAATTAATCTAAAATGAATCTAACAAAATTCAATATTCTCAGCTCCAACGATTTGCAAACAGATTGTATCGATTTGTAAGCATGTCTCTGTCGCAAATGATAAAGATTTGAAGAGATCAACGTTCAAATCACCATTTTCGGACAATAAAAGCTAGAGAATTTCAGAAGAAAAGCGCAATTCACACGGGTCTTTTCTCGGTTTATTAAAGCAGTACTGCTTGTCATCTCACTGGTTATAGTTCTTCACGATTTTAATTTTATTTTATTCGGGACCTTTTGTTAATCCCATCTCTTACTTTTCAAATAAAAAGAGAGATTTCTGATGTATTGGATTTGGTGAGATCCGTGTCAGATTAATAATATCAACGGCAAAAATGCATTTGGTGAGATCTGTGTCAGATTAAAAATATCAAGGGCAAAAATGATATTTCATAATTCAAGTGTATACATCAGCAATGATGCATGCATGTGGTTAAATAAAAGAAGGGGTATGATGGTGAAAGTATGATCTCTGTTAAAAAAAAGAAAAAAAAAAACTATGACAGGAAGTGTCACAGCATTTTTTCCACAAGTTTAATCTGTGGTCAATAAAAGGAAACCTAGGGCGGTGTCAGAGCATTTCACCTTAAAATTTGGGGTAAAATGCTCTCCCGCTCATATTTGCCTTTTTGCTCATAGATTAATATTCTTCAAAAATTGCTCTGGCACCCCTATCAGAGCTAGCAGCCATATGTTCTTTAACGGAAGATGTTCTTTTACCATTACATGCCTTTATTTAACTGAGTTCATATGTCATTGCTGATGTGTACATTAAAATTAAGAAATGTCTATATTGCCATTGATAATTAATCTGAATTGAATCTAACCAAATCCAATATACTCAAGCTCCAGCGATTTGCAAACAAATCGTGATTGAGGTATGGTTTTTTTGGCAAGGTTCGGTTCGTCGAGACTGAGAGTGTACGGATATCTCGTCCCCTAAACAGAGATCGAATCAGACAGTGTTGATTGCTCCCATGGTCGGGTTTGAAAGTATGTCTTCGTCGAAACCATATTGATTTGAAGAGATCAACGTTCAAATCACCATTTCCGGACGATAAAAGCTTGAGAATTTCAGAAGAAAAGCGCAATTCACGCGGGTCTTTTCTTGGTTTCTTAAAGCAGTACTGTTTGTGATCTCACTGGTTATAGTTCTTCGCGAGTTCAAACTCTGTGCCTTTTATTTTCTTCAGGACCTTCCGGCCTTTTGTTAATCCCATCTCTTTCTTTTCACAGAAAAAGTGAGTTTGCAAACTCTCGTTTCAATCCAACACTTGCGTTTTGAGAAAAAAATTGACACCTTTTTGGACATATCAGAGGATAAATTGGACCCAAAATTGTTAGAGGCCAAGATCAAACAGAATAAATCAAACTTATGTGTATCTCAATCTTCCACATCACTTCTTCATCAGATCAGAGAGCGTGCGAATGCCACCTGTACGACCTCCAGAGGTCCTCTTGTTGGAAGATGAAGAGGCCATGGGCTTTCCTGGATCGGAGATCGTAGGGGTTAGGGTTTGACCACGGAGACTGGGATCGGAAGCGAGACGGCACGGAGAGGGAGGTTGTGATTGTTGGCGGCGGTGGCAGTGGAGGTCATTGCCTCAATTGCAAGTGGGTGATTTGATGATCCAAAAACATTTAATGTGTAATCTTTATGGGTTGATTTTTTATTTTTTGTTAAGCATCATTTATGAGAAATTCCATTTGCAGAAGAAAAGTAGTAGATAAATAGTCTCACTTCACCTGTATGAACTTTAATAATTGTCTGAGTATTCGATGTTCAGGCATCATGGAGGTAGACATGGAAAATTCTGTCTCAACCTCGCCTGAAGAACCTGCAGTTGCATGCACTAATGGGCAATTGATCCACTTCCACCACTATCAGATCCAATTCATCGAGTGTGCATTTGTTTCGCAAAGTGATTTGCAGCCCAAATTTTGAGATTCTTTCTTCATTGTGGGTTTTCCATGTTTAATAAAGAAATGAAATCATCAAAGAAGTTAAAGTCTGTGATGCATAGCATTTGCCATTTCAGTGTGGAGAGAATCCGAGGCTCCATCCTCTTTACCTCCACCACCAGACCCTTGTTGAGATTGAGGCTATCCTGCTCATGCATGAACATGTTCAAATTCACACATGAACTCATCAAAAAAGTTTGAAGAAGTAAAACATAATTAAAAATGAAAGAGTGCAATTTTATACTAGTAATTGAGGCAATTTGAATTTCATTATCCTCATTTTCCAAACGAGTGAAAGACAGGTGATTGCAATTAACATTATGCCCTGCACTGTTTGGTCCTACAATTGACAACATAAGATTGAGTTAGAAATTTTCAATACCAAAACAGTGAAACCAAGAAATGTAGATGATATTAGGTTTTTCTGTTCTTGTTTACCCTCCATTGGTTGCCTTGCACTCGTTTGTTTATGAATGTCATCGCTTGTCTTCTTCGAAGGACCGCAGTGGGGTTATGGTGGTAGTACTTGACGAGGGGGATGCCTGACGTGGCTTAAGCCTTTAGCAAAATGTCAGACATTTTGATTCCTTTTGAGTTTTTTTATTTTATTTTTTTGTAAGGATATTTTAGACATTTCATTCTTTAAATTGAGAAAATGTACTTATTTGCACAATTGGAAAAATATAGGGGCGTTTTTTACACCAGGGGGCTATTTGCACATTCTATGTATAATGGTTTTTTTTTTGCACTTTACCCTTTTTTTTTTTTGTTTCACTGGTTTAATCTGTGAGCAATAAAGGCAAACCTGGGGGGTGTTAGAGCATTTTACCCTAAAATTTATCACCTCTCTTTAGTCTTTATATAGTGTCTTAGTCTATGACGATTCTAGAGTTTGATCCAAAAAGCTGCCAAAGCAATTTGCTATTGAACACATTCACATTCTCTGATGTATGGCAATTGTATCGAGTTATTATTGGATCATGTTGTATTTCATGATATCTAAACATGTGATTACAGATCATTTGTGTTTTGTTTTTAGTTTTTTACTTTGGGTTGTTTAATTGTTAGCTTTGCAACATTCCAGGAAACCTTGTTCAGGGTATAAATTAAAAGAGATGACTGGTAGCGGTATTTTTGCAGCTGTTGGAGAGAATGATGCAGAATCTGACAGCGCCAACCCAACCCCAAATAACAAATCTGGATTACGTATGTACCAGGTATATTTTGGACATTGCTAGTTTAAATAGCCAGTTTAATAACAGAAGGATTGCGTTAGGTTGGTTGACAGTTAGCGAATGATATGAACTCCAGGAAAAAGTAAGATTTGTATAGGTTACCCCAAGTTGAGAAAATGCTTTGTTGAGTTGAGCCATTAGTTTAAAACTTATTGTCTGCTTATGGATCTCTGGTCCATTGGGATGCCAGTCTGACATGAGAAATGCGTAATACCTCGTGAGTGACTGCTTACTTTTTGATGGTTGGAATTTTTTTCAGCAAGCGGTTGCAGGAATCAGTCACATCTCATTTGGCGATGAAGAGACTGTTTCTCCCAAGAAGCCTAGTACTCTTCCTGAGGTGGCAAAGCAGCGGGAGCTGAGTGGGACACTAGAAAGCGACTCTGAGGCAAAGCTGAAGAAGCAGCTTTCTGATGCCAAGTGCAAGGAGCTTAGTGGAAATGACATCTTTGCGCCCCCTCCTGAAATTCAACCCCGGCCTTTGGCTGCTCGTGCATTGGCATTAAGAGAAAGCATAAGTATTGGAGAACCTGAATCACTTGATGTACACTCAGCTGCCAAAGTATCTAATGTAAGTGAAATATGTCAGTGTAAAAATGAATTCTGTGTGCACGCGTGCGTGCGCATGTTTGCGTGCATCTGCTGATGCATATGCACGTGCGTACACACACAAGCATTCAAATATATGAAACTGTAATTTTTAAGGTTTGATTTGGGATAACTTGAAAGACCAATATGCCCGTGCATAGGGGAAAATTGCACTTTTGTTTTTCTTTATCTGTTGCAAAAATTGATTCACCCAGATTTTTTATATTTACATAACTTACATGTTCTTAGATGTATAGTAGATATATGATGGTTTGTGAAGAAAATTTCGTATATTAGGTGTTCCGACTTCTATGTTTTTTATGAGGAAATGTTACCAGAGACCATTGTTAAATCAATTCGTCCATTCTACACTCATGTTCTGCCTCGGTCCATCTTGCATCTTTATAAGTGTGCATTTCCTGTGTTTCGTCATCTTGATCTGTCTAAAACTCTTTTCTTTATGTAATTAATTTATAGCCCGTTGGAGGTCAGAGCGGTGGATTCTTTGGCGAGGAACCAATTAACAAGACAGCGAAGAAGATCAATAACCAAAAATTTGCAGAGCTGACAGGAAATGACATTTTTAAGGGAGATGCTCCTCCAACATCTGCAGAGAAACCACTAAGCTCGGCAAAGCTGAGAGAGATGAGCGGCAGTAATATATTTGCTGATGGGAAGGTAGAATCTCGAGACTACTTAGGCGGGGTTCGCAAACCCCCTGGTGGCGAGAGCAGCATTGCCTTGGTGTAACTTGTTTGGACTAACTCAATTATTTTACATTATTACTTCTGTTATGGTGTTATCTTATTCCTAGTGGGGATATGTTCTCATATGTTTTGACCTTGTGGTCGCGTGTTCTGATATTGATTAGGTTTAACATGTCAACCAGAGGTTGGACCATTGGCTAATTGGGTTGTATGTTTATCATGTTTTACCAGTGTTTGTATTAATGAAGTGTGGTGTTGTTCAGAGCTTATTTTCATTTCCTTAGAAGTTCATGTAGTACTTGTGGATTTGCAATAGAAACGGATGGACTCATTTTGACTTGCTCAGAAACCTTGTTCAATTGGACTAAAGTTGTTGGATTGTTCTTAGCATGGGCACCTCCTCCATAGGGGTAGCTTGAAGCTTAATGCGGATGCAGCGGGAAGTTTTGTGGAGGTGGTAGGTATGGTGGTTTGAGACTCTGAAAGCAGTAATCAAATTGTCTCATCATGGTTGGGGCCTGGCCTCTGTTATTGTGGAAGGAGATTGTCAGGTAGTCTTCTTTCTCAAGCCCAACTAGCCCGGTGCAGGAGGTGTGCTTGAAGATATCAAATCCTGATGTGAGAGCGTCTACCTCAGTTTTCTTTATGTTGGGTTCCTCGTCCTTAAATGGGGGTAGCTCATTGTCACGAGCTTAGAGTTTCAGCACCACTCTAGCTGCTCCCGTGCGGCACCAAGACGTTGCTTTCACTCTCGCAAGTACTTGGTCAGCCTAACTCCCGTGCGCCTAACTCCCGTGCACACCTTAGCCAACACACTCCCCTCGTGCGCTTACTAGTGTTGTAGTTGCCCTCGCCCTCTCCTCACTTGGCTTGCACACTCACACACACTAAGGCACTTAAGTTGGCAAGGAAAGAACACTTCTATTACTTCAAAGAATGCTTTGTACAAGGCTAACGCTCAAGCTCTCTACAAGGCTCTCAAGACTCACTCCAGGACTTGTTTCCTACAAAATGAAGTCCTACCTCTATTTATAGGCATCCCCATCCCTAATGGACGGCTAGGATGCATTCTAACCAACGGTGGAGATTGATTATCTAGAATCTTCTCCCACCTTCTTCACACTTCCATACTTATCTACTAGTATCTACAACATTCTAGAATTCTCCATACTACTCCACAAAACTCTGGAGAACTCTAGAACCTTCCACACACTTCTACACATTTCTACACATATCTAGAATCTTCCACATAACTCTAGACTATTCCGGAAGACTCTAGAAACTCCACTTGCCATGCAGTTGCCATGCAGCGTCCTCCTCAGCGTCTGCGTGTCGCCTGCGTGGCACAACCTCCATAGGCGGGGCGTGACATTCTCCCCCACCCATTTCCGTGACGCCCTCGTCACGGTTTCTTCAGCTGACCCAGCCTCTCGCAGGTCATCAGCACTTGCGCATATGTCCTTGGCCCAAACGTACGAGCGCCCTTCGGGAGATGTGAGGTCCTCACGAGCTCCATCGTGTTGATTGCCACCTCTGGACTCTCCTTCCTGCCCACGAGCGGCACCATGCATGCGGCCTTGCCTTCCTCGCCTCCAAGTATCATCAACGCACCAAGGCATGGTAGTGGCGCGGCGTTGTTCCTGTCCATGAACTCCAGCCCCAGCACCATGTCATGGTCGTCCATCTCCGCAACTTGGAAGTCGGCCTTGCCCTTCCATCCTTGCATGCATAGCTCTACCTCTTTGCACACTCTACTCACGCGTGCCTCCTCGGAGTTGACGGCCTTGATCCATCCTTCCGTCTTGCGCATCTCCAAGCCAAGTCGTTGCGCCTCCTCTGGGGTAATGAAGTTGTGTGTAGCGCCCGTGTCTACCAACGCTTGCACGGCTTTGCCACCAACCTGCGCATCCACATAGCGCACCCCAGCTACCTTCTTTGCCTTACCCTTTTTCTTGGTGTCATGCGCCATGCTACTCAGCATCTGCATAGCCCCCATGCACCTGTCTTCGTCGCTGCCCGTATCATCCACCTTGCCCTTGCCCTTATCCTTCACAAGGGCGCTCATGGTCTTCTTGTTGGGGCAGTGTCGCAATATGTGCGGCCCTTCGCACAAGTAGCACTTCGGCTCCCACTTGCCCTTATCGCGGCGCTCCCATTTGCCACTAGCCTTGGACCTCTCTCCATGGTCCTTGCCCTTATCATGGCGTGGGCGTCTCTCCTCATCGCTGTGCTCATCATCACTAGACTTGGGCGAGCCCCGTTTCTTGAAGCGCCGGTCTCCCCCACCTTTGCCGTGGTCCCTCCTGGGAGACGTGGCCCTCTTGTCATCGCGCCTAAAGTCTTCGAGGCGCTCCGCTATAGCCATTGCGGATGCCAAGTCTCTAGGCTCCCTCCTCCTTAGCTCCGTGGCCACCCAAGACTGCAGCCCATCAATGAACAAGCACATACGTTGCCGCTCCGGCATCTCTGGGATCTCCAGCATCAAGTTGGAGTACTCCTTCACATACTCCCTTATGCTGCCCTTCTGCTTCAGGCGCCTTAGGTTGATCATGGCGAGGTCCTCAACGCACTCAGGGTAGAACTGCCTCTTGAGCTGCCTCTTGAACTCCTCCCATGTATCAACTGCTCTTGCGCCCCTACCGGTGAAGCGCTGCCTCCACCATAGAGCGGCAGTGTCTGTGAGGTACATAGTGCCTGTCTGCACCTTCTCCTCATCATCCTCGATCTCCATGCACTCGAAGTACCGCTCCATGTGCCAGAAGAAGTTGTCAATCTGGCGCGCATTCCTTGCCCCATCGTACTCCTTGGGCTCCGGCGCCTTCTTCTTCCTTGGCTTCACCACGACCTCGCGCGCCTGAGAGAACTCCTTCTTGCACTCGGCAATCTCCATGCGCAAGTCGTCTACCCGATCATGCAAGTCCCTTTCTTTCTCTTGCGCCTTGTTGGCGATGCCATCAATCAGCTCGTAGAGCTCCGCCATCCTTCTCTCGAGCCTATTAAACTTAGTCTCCGTGTAGACCAAGTGTGTGGCAAGCTTCTCCTCCAAGCTCTGCTCCAAGACGTGGACTTGGTGGTCTCCTCCGCTAGCCATGTCTACTCCAACAAAGCTCCCTTGACGAACCTGCTCTGATACCAACTGTCACGAGCTTAGAGTTTCAGCACCACTCTAGCTGCTCCCGTGCGGCACCAAGACGTTGCTTTCACTCTCGCAAGTACTTGGTCAGCCTAACTCCCGTGCACACCTTAGCCAACACACTCCCCTCGTGCGCTTACTAGTGTTGTAGTTGCCCTCGCCCTCTCCTCACTTGGCTTGCACACTCACACACACTAAGGCACTTAAGTTGGCAAGGAAAGAACACTTCTATTACTTCAAAGAATGCTTTGTACAAGGCTAACACTCAAGCTCTCTACAAGGCTCTCAAGACTCACTCCAGGACTTGTTTCCTACAAAATGAAGTCCTACCTCTATTTATAGGCATCCCCATCCCTAATGGACGGCTAGGATGCATTCTAACCAACGGTGGAGATTGATTATCTAGAATCTTCTCCCACCTTCTTCACACTTCCATACTTATCTACTAGTATCTACAACATTCTAGAATTCTCCATACTACTCCACAAAACTCTGGAGAACTCTAGAACCTTCCACACACTTCTACACATTTCTACACATATCTAGAATCTTCCACATAACTCTAGACTATTCCGGAAGACTCTAGAAACTCCACTTGCCATGCAGTTGCCATGCAGCGTCCTCCTCAGCGTCTGCGTGTCGCCTGCGTGGCACAACCTCCATAGGCGGGGCGTGACATCATGCTGTGGTTAATTGGGCCATGCAGCGTTAGGGAATTGCCCTTTCTGGTCTCTACGTTTGGAGGTGGATCGAGCTGAGGATTTTGTATATTCTTATTTATAAATAGGGAGGCCCTATTGACACTCCATTTTTCTATATTTGGACTATAATCTTAAATGAAATGACAATTATAACCTTAACTTTACAAATAAATAATTATTACTTTTTAAATGACACTATTGTCCTTTTAAATTTACTCTCCTTATCTCTAATTTTTAATATTTTAGGTCTCTTTTGGCAAGATAAAAATAAATAAATAATAATAATATTTTGTTTCCAGGACCAAAAAGACCGGACCAAAAATAAAAAAGTAACTATTAAAATAATTATCTCTTTTGACAGGGAAAAAAAATCTAAATAAAAAATATTTATTGAAAAAATTATCTCTTTTGTCAAGATAAAAAAAATACAAGAAAAGAGGATTAAAATAGATATCTATATATATTTCTATTGAATAAATTATTTCTTTTGATGGGACCATAAAAAATCACAAAAAAAAAAAAACCTCTTTTGACGGGACTGAAAAAAAAAAAATCAACTTTGTAAAATAAATTATTTATTTTGATTGCACCAAAAAAAAGTCACAAATAAATTATCTCTTTTGACTGCCAAAAATAAAATTATCAGTATAAAATAAATTATCTTCTTTGAGAGGACATTCGAAAAGAAAAAGAAAAGAAAGTATAGCACATGGACAAAAAAATAGTAAAGAAACTAAAGAAGGTAAAAAAATATTTAAGTTGTATAAAGGGTAGTTATGACATTATAAAATAAAGAATAGTGCATTAATGAATTGAATGACTTTCTTGTTATTTTATTTAAAAGAAATATATAAGTGGGAGTTTAATTAGAGAAAAGTGGAGTGCCATCGTCTTCCTATAAATATATTTGCATTTCATAATATAAATAGTATAAATAAAGCATTATAAAATTATAGGCCGGTAAATGATACAATGAAAATAGAGTTTGAAAATTATAGGCCGGTAAATGATACAATGAAAATAGAGTTCGAAAATGAAAATAGAGTAATAGAGTAAGAAAAAATAAAGAAACTTTTGTATAATAGAAAGGCACCGTAAAACTGTCCTAAAGTCTTTATAACCATCTTATAATATATTCTTAAGATACAATTAGTGGACAGTCTTTACAGCCATCTTATAAAAGATTTGTAAAATACAATTCGAGTGCCCTCTAGGCTCTAACAGTATGCTCACAGTGAGCCGATCACCAAATCTTTTATCACCACCCATAAACTCAAATATATATATTTGAATTTATATATTATAGTTTTGGTTGCAGGGATAAAAGAATGAGTTATAGAAAAGAAACAAAAAGAGAGAAGTAAGAACTATGGTATTATTAATAACCAGCTTGTATTCACAAATAATAAGTAACTAATTAGACAGTCTTGATAAATGTGTTTGGTTCTGTGAACTTTTGTACACATAAACAGTATAGTTGGCTATTAGGGAAGGGACAATTAATAGAGAGCAGCCTGACCTCTGTTAACAAAATGGAAATGGTTGCTTTATACCTAGAGCCAGGATTTCATTCCAAGGGGCATAGTGTCACACCCTAAAATCATAGGGCGTGATAATAAGGTTAAAATAATAAAAAATGGAATAATAGTTTTCAGCTTAAGAAAATTCTGCGCAGCGGTTACTCAAAAAAACATAAGAAATTCAATTATTATCAAAATGAAGCAAACTAAATTTAAGGTTGTCACACAGTGTATTTGATAGGATAAAAAAAAAAAAAATTAATGGCAAAAATATAATTTTCACATCAAAAGACAAACAAGACGAAGAAAAAAAAAAATTAAATAAAAACATAGCAAAGTCACTATTTTCAAAAGACAAAAAAAGGAATTACCTGGCAAGGTGAGATACTGGATGAATTAGGAGTCCAGGAGCCATTCCAAAGCAATCATACCCACTCTCTGAGTCTCCAAGCGTATAGTGAGTCTTGACAACCAAAGCAGATAAGATTGTATTCTATTATCTTTATCTTAAACTAAGATGGAAACTAAATGTTCTTCAATAATGTGAATTGAAAATCCCATAAAGGAATTTATTTGTTTATCTAAAGGACTAAACAGGTAACAAGTTGATATGATAATTAAATAAAAAGAACTAAAGTAGAATACTTGACACATATAAGATCCAAAATATTGATTGATAATATTTCATTGAATACAATTACAACTGCCCTCGACGGCTTTTCATTTTTTGAAAGCGTTGAATGATAGCTTCATTATCTATGCCCTTAAATATTTCTTTTTCAATATACACAACCAAGCTATCATTCATAAATTAATCTCCCATCCAATTACGCAATTCATTCTTTACAATATTCATAGCAGAAAATGCCCTCTCCATCGTGGCAGTCGCGACTGGTAAGATTAATGCCAATGTCACAAGTAGATACACTAATGGATATACCTTGTCTTTTTTTTTTTTTTTTTGGTTTCAACCATTTTTTTTGTAAGAGCAGAATCCTTCAAACCTGATATTAGAGTACACATCAAGAATATAAGTTTCAAGTTGACTACCAAGTTCTATGAGCTTGGCTGCAGAAAATTCTTTTGGATAGTATTCAGCAAAGCGAGTGATCTTTTGCTTGTCAAAAGCAAAGAATACATCATCTGGACATAGACATGCCACACAAAGAAGTAACTCAGTATTAGCCTTATTGAAACGATTATTTAGCTCTTGAAGTTGCATATCTATGACAGAATAAAACAACTCAGCACGATCGTAATGCAAGTTTGTCATTTCTTGCATATTTCGTCATCGTCGTCCTTGAGTAATGAACATATCATCCATGTTGGGAACATCAATCTCATGTCTCTCACAAAAGGAAGAAACTTCATCAAGCAAAGAATCCTATCCATCATCCCTCATCATTTGTAGTCGTTGCTTACATACTTTGACAAGTTCATGGCATTCACGATATCTTGATCTTTCTTTGTAGTGCTTTGGATAATTCATTTGTCATGTCCAACAATGTCTTCATCAAATGGAGATTGAATACAAAATTAAAGGATTGTATTGATCCAAGTAGAATAGATGCTTCGCCTCTTTGATCAGATTTCAATCCTTTTTCGATAAACTCAAGAACAGCAATAACAGATGAGAATAATGTAATCAAGCTAATTAAAGTTCCATAATGTGAGCCCCAACGGGTGTCTCCTGCATGTACAAGGGAAGTACTTTGATTTAGGCCTTGCCCACTTGTGAGCTCGCCTTTGTTAAATCCATCAATAACTTCAGCAATTTGTTTCTCGCGAAGCATATGATCACGACATTTACATGAGGCTCCAACTACATTCACCACATTAGCAACAAATATGAAAAAAGTGAAAATATAGCCATGATTCTTTGCCACAACAACAAGAGCCAACTGAATTTGGTGAGTTAAATAATGAACATAAAAAACAAATTCATTCTCTTTCAGAATAAGCGGTTTGAGACCGTTGAACTCACCTTGCATATTTCTAGCCCTATCATAGCCTTGCCCACGCAATCTAGAAATGCTCAATCCATGTGTAGAAAATACATTATCAATCGCCATCTTGAGTGAGAGAGCAGTTGTATCAGTAACATGTACCATACCAATAAAACGTTCAATGACACTTCCATTCTTCACGTAACGTAACACAATAGCCATTTGCTCTTTTATCGATATATCACGAGACTCATCAATTAAAATAGAAAAAAATCCATCTCCAATATCTCTAATAATAAAATTGACAATCTCTATTGCAATGGCATTTACAATCTCTTTTTGAAACATAGGTGATATTAACTTCAGATTTTCAGGAGCATTTTCCAATACAACAGCTCTAACATCCTCATTGTGATGAGCATGGAATCTCAAAAGTGTGAGGAAGTTCCCTTGATTGTTTGAATCTTCAGATTCATCGTGACCACGAAAGGCAAGTCCTTGGTATAAAAGATATCGGATACATTCAATTGATGCAGTCAAACGAGTTCGATATTCATTTCTAGATTGGTGCGACTGCTTGCATAAAATTGTTTGAATGTATTATTTTTGGTTCACTAAAGCTTCACATGATCTCTAAGCTTGGTTGTGGGCACTATTGGGACCTCCAACATGAGTTTGAAATTTTTCTTTCTTCTTCCAATTTGAAAACCCCTCACCCACAAAAGATTCACCTCCTGCTTGTTCTCCAATATCCGGCTTGAAAAGATAACAACATAGGCAAAACGCTGCATCTTTGGTTATACTATATTCTAGCCAATTAGAATTTCACTAAACCAAGTAGGGTTAAAACGGTGTGATGCTTTCCCAAAACTCGTATAGGGAAAACGAGGAGTATTGGTTGACAAGGACGCTTAAGATAATATGCTCTACGAATGTTATATCGAATATTATGATAGTAATCCAAGATTTGAGTTCGTAATCCTGGATCCGCCGGAAGATTTTCCAAGTTAATGTCGAAACGACTTTGCTTCAATATTCGATCATCATCTCTCTCTATCAGAGGTGGTCGAGGTGCTAACCCTGATTTTCTTTTATAATATTTCTCCATAACTGTTTAAAATAAAAAAAATGCTTATTTACATGTAATAATTAAGTTGGACATTTCAATCTTATTAATTTTATTTAAACCACTCAATCTTTTCTTTTAGAATGTATTAGGAAAGATTGGAAAGTAAGTGCTAACTAGTAACTACATAATAAAAATTTAGAAAAAAATGCCCAATTCAAGTGACAATGATTTAACCCAATCTTAATATCATGATCAAAATTAGAAAATTTTTAAAAATCCAAAAGACATAATAAATAAAAAATAAAAAACTCTCAGAAAAATATTTGAAAAATTAATAAAGTTTTGTGCTGAAAAATTAATAAAGGGTTGTGCTATATAACAAAATTAAAAAACTAACTTATAATTACTCAATTTATCTATCATATTCATCAAACAAGTAAGATAAAAACTAAAATATATAAATCATCCTTAGAATAGGATATAACAAGAAATCAATCTGGGATGATCCAAGGCTTCAAGCCCCGTTACTGGAAAAACGAAAAATCAAGTCCAGAACAAGAAAACTGCTTTCAATATCAAACAGCCCAGGTTTGAGTACCTAATTCATCTTATTTTCTCCTAATTCTCAATTTGGTGTTAAGCAAATATAAATCATCATTCATTACAATAATGCCAAATGCAACTATTTGGCTATGTTAAGATATGTTGGGCTTTTTTCTTCTTTTTCCTTTCCATCCCTTTAGAGAAATGGTTCAAAAAAAAAAAAAAAAAATGCATAAAATCAAAACCTCCAGCTGTTGATCAGCAAGTTCCTATTTGCACTCGAAACAAAACTATATTGGCATCAAACTTGTGAACATCTTTAGAGGGTAGTGTATAGTGGGAATTTTGGGTATGCCATGTTTTCCTCAAAGTTTCTGAGAGTTTGATTCAAGTAAAGAAAAAAAAAAACACTACGGTTTCGGGTTTACTTGCAAATTAAACATTGAATCAACAACAAAACAAATTGGGTATCCTTCCTTCCAATTCCAAATCCGTCGCAAACGATGGAGATTTAAAATCTGAGCATAATGATATGCATAAGCAGGCTAAGCAGCATAACCATGGCGTGACTTTTGAGTCCAAGCTTTTGCTTTCGTATCTCACTTTTGTGCAAAGAAACTAGAAAATCAGAAGACAGAAAATGAATTTTTATTTGACCTTATTTGGTTCCACACTTCCACCGTACTTGTTATTTGCTTTTTGTCTTATTGGGCTATATATGGTACTTTGTTAGGGCTTTATTTGGTAGTACTTTGTAGGTGAATGACTTAAATGGGCTTGATTCACTAAAGTATTACTAATATACGAGGGCAAAAAAAAAAAAATTCAGGGGGGGCATTTTTGGACTTTTGAAAAAATATACATATACTATTAAAAAAATAAAAATAAATAAGAAGTTTGGGGGGGGGGGGGGGGGGCACTAGCTCCCTCCGCCCTTATTTATACCAACTCTCCAAATAATAATTAAAAAAAATCATAGATATAGGTGGAAAAACATCCTAACGCGTTTAGGGGTGTGTGTGTATATATATATATTCTTTCTTAATATAGCATTCAAAAGTCGAATCCATTTGACTGCATTTATATGAATGAGATAATATGGTAACTACGTTATTATTACATCTAGGGATGACAATTTCTCCCAATCCATCAGGTTTTCGCTCCACCCCGCCCATAATAGGGCGAATTTGATAGCCTTAATGAGTTTGGGACATATATGGTAAAATAATTGAAAACCCAAAATGAGTTTGGGGCGTGAGTGGATTTAGTAATGAACTCATCCTGACCTCGCCGCAATTATATATTTACCTTTTAATATATATAAATATATATATAATATTTAATATTTTTAAAACTCATATTACTTTGCTGGAAGTGTAAGTAAATATACCTTTCGGGAAAAAAAAAAAAAAAAGTGTAAGTAAATATATCAATATTCACTACTTAGTAATTTAAAAGCTGGACCAGTTAATATTCACTACTTAGTAATTTAAAAGCTGGACCAGCTTATTTATCAATCCAATTTGAACATATTGGGCTAATTTTTTTTACTACATAATAAAAGTGGCAAAACCCGCCCCTCAATTAAACTTACATGGGACGGAGTCAGTACTTTGATTATCGGAGTATGAGCAGAAATGGTGCACCAATTAAAAATCCGTCCCAGGATAGGGGCGGAGTTGGTATAACGGATTTTCTAACGGGGTGGAGTAGGGTTTTGTAACGACCCAAACTCGGGGTTCGAATTACTAATCGGGTCCTTACTAGAACTCGAGAATACCCAAGAGTAAAACGGTCAACTAAGGCATGAAAATGAATAATATAACTCTAAATGAATCATAATAGGTCAGCATAAGTCATAATGGTAATTTGAACCCATGTCGCAAGGTTCTAGACATAAGAATGAGGATTTTACACAATTGCCCTCTTTGGTTTAAAAGATTTCCGAAGCAGTTCACACTAAAAATGGTATAACTTTCTATACGATTAGAATTTTTGAGTGTGGTTAATATCATTGGAAATCTGACTCAAAAACCTTGAAAATAGACTCAAATTTGACCTAATTTGAAGTTAAAATGAGTGAGATATGATCGTTTGAAGTTGGGGGTTCAAAGTTATCTTTGTTTTATTTTGGCTGACCCTATTAGCTATAACGGTTGACCGAAATGACCCATTGATCAACCAAAATAACTCATCGGTCGTCCAATTATGACTCTGGAGTTTCACAAGCTACCGGTTTTGGTCCTAAAAGATACCGGTCGATCGAAATGACTTACCGATCAACCGAAATGACCTAGAAATGCATTTTTTCTCACTGTTTAAGTGCCTAAACAACTTGGCATCCTAATGGCTTCATTTGTGACTTTTAAAATGGTTAAAACTTGCCCCGAACATCCATAAACATATATATAATGATAAAACAATATCCATACATCAAGGCAAGATCAAATTACATCATTATATATTGAGATAAATTTGTTTACATTGAATTTGAATACATGAGATAATAAAGCATAAACTTCCTAACTATGGCTAAGTATGAGAAAGCGTCTCATCCACTTCGCTGCTTCTAAACCCTGAAAATGATAAAGAAAGGGTGAGTACAACGGTTCAGTAGGAAGTGCTTAAAACGCACTCCTTAATGGTCTTGTGAATCCAAACAAAGAATAACAATTAGAGACGGGGTTCATGCTTAGTTTGGGAATGCCAATGAGATGTGGATGTCTATCCCCAATTGTTTTCAAAATCCTTCCAGCACCTCAACTATTAAACCGTTAATCATCATTTTCAAAACATTTCCCAAAACCAACTCTTTCTTTAAAAATTCAGTTTTCCCCATTTATCAACCCAATGTAAATGCATGAATGAAACATGCTTATCTATGTCATATAACTATATAATTTCTACATTGAAACTCACTTCTATAAACTATGCTTTAGAAGAAATTTATCATGGCGTTTTTCATTTAGTAAACATAATCACAAATATATATGATTAATTTCATAACCAAAACATCTTAAACATAGAAGACATGTAAATTCCAAAACATTTATTGCTACACACAATCATCCAATCATGCAATAAAATAGCATAACAGCAAAATAGAACACAATTAACACGTTATTGTATTCATACTTTCATAACCATTAAAATAAATCAAGTCTAGACTTGTTTTAGTACACATTCAAGGAGGAAACTCACAAAGAACAAAGTTTGTGAGCTTTAGAAAACCCCTACCTCAAAGAAACCAATCTAAGCTCCAAAAGCCCCAATTTTTAGAATTCTTCAAGTCACTCAAATAACAATCTGCTCTGATCACCTTGTAACTCTCGTTGAGCTCTACAACTTTGCCTTCAATGGCAAAGATCAAAACTAACTAGAAAAGGGATGAAATCTAGGCTTAAAGGCATGAAATTTAGAGAGAAAAAATAATTCTAGAGAGAGAAAGAAGCTTCGGTAGAATGGAGTAAAAGAAAATTGAGCCCAAATCAGTTTGTGTGGTCCTTTGATGGGTATAAAGTCAATGTGGGGTCCATTTGGTCAAAATATCCTCTTTGTCACCATTTGCATATATATATATATATATATATATATATATATATATATATATATACATGCTATAATTACACACCTAAGCACTTACCCACATAAAAATATACCAAATAAAGACATAAAATTTAATAATTACGAAAAATCTGGGTGTGGGTCCTGCCCTGGACATCACGGTCCGAAAATCTGAAAAATGTCAAAATGGCTAACCATTCATTTATAAGAGTTCTGAACTCGAAAAAAATGCCCCAAACAACCTTCGGGACTCACATGACACACCCCACAGTGTCTGGCATGCAAAACGAGGTAATAAATAAATAAATTCAGAAAAATCGAAAAATGTCTAAAATTGAAAAAATTGAAAAATGGGAAACATCATAAGTTTAGCCAAACCCGCCCTAACGCCGCCTCGTTGCCATCCCTAATCACGTTATCATTTTCTTTCGAAGTTGAAGGGGCATTAAAAATTTAAAATTCAAAGTTTATTTTAATCTTGCCACCGTTAAGAATGAATTTGGAATTTCCTAAACAAATTCTAAATTGTATAAGGCCTAATTCCATAAAACCCCCACTAATTTCAAAGTTTGATCATAAACTCCCAATCTATTTCAAAAAACCTCCGACACTTTT